CTACATCATATTCTATTTTTTTACTACTCATCTCCACACAACAATTCTTGTCATTGTCTTACCCTTTTAACTGTAATGAAATGGTGCCTTACAGAATGTCTACTGCATAATTGCCCCTTTCCTCATTGGTAATCACTGGCCTGTTGTGGACCGAGGGCAGTGGTCCAGGTCAGGTAGACAACTTAAGCCTGGTTTATGGTCAACACACACCAAATGCAACGTCACCACAGCCCCGTCATTGTTTATATTGGCACCTGGAGCAAACCAGCTCAGTTCAGACTTCTCCTGAATGACAGGTTTTCTCCTGAATTCAGCACGGGGCGATCATGGCTCAAGAGTTGGCTGTTCGTCTTGTAATCGGAAGGTTGTGGCTACAATGTAGCTTGCCATCACCAGTGTGTGAATGGGTGGATGACTAAATGTAGTGTGAAGCGCTGTGGGGTCCTTAGGGACTAAGTAAAGCGCTATACAAATACAGGCCATTTACCATTTTAAAAAAAATCTTGGCATTAGTGCTGGCATAAGAGTAGAAAAGTCAAAACAAGAAGACATGAAAAGCAAGTTGGTTTGGTTTTTTCCTCCAAAACATATAATCTCTTCAAACCATCTGTATATTCCGGGAATCTTAGCTTCTGTTCTGATATTTACTTAAATGGTAGTTAAAAACCAACATGATCATAGATTTGTGTGTCAGGTCGAAAAGGGAATCGAAAAGGGAAACGACAAGCCCAAACTACACCACAGCATGGCACATGCCAATAGTTGTGACATCAGTTTTGGTGAATGCTGCTGTTTGCAAAAGTAACAATTGTGAGCACAAACTAGGTTTGAAGGTATGTTGTGATATACACATCAACACACCTGACTCTCCTCAGATCAAATACCAAACATGCCCTTTTAATTACGTTTTAACCTTTGGAGTACATCATCATTCCCCAATGAACAAGTGTAACATATCTAGATGCCAACGCCAATTATATTCTTGTGCTGCAATAATACATTTCAAATGTGAGCCGCCTGACTGAAATGTTGCTGGGCTAGATTTTTTTTTTTTAAACTTAAGCCTGCTATTAACTATGCTACTTAGCACTGCAACCACAGACACAGGTAAGTTTCGCCATCAATTACACAAAATGCATGAAACAACTTGACTTGCTACTTTTTCTACTTCAAACATAAAGAAAACAACTTTAAAACTGACAGATTTTCTTAAGTATTACATTACAGTGACACTGAGAAATACAACACATTTATTATACCCTCTGACATGCAGAAGACACTGTGGTCCTTTCTCCTACCTTGCTGTCTAATTTCTTCATGGTGACCAGATCAAGGGATTTGAGTGAATGGCCTGAGGGGGAAATGAAGTAAAGGCAGGCATGGACTCGTGAGTCATGGTAGTTGTGAAGAGAACGCTTGATTTTTAGCTCCTCCTGGAGATAACTCTCAAATTGCCTGTCAATGTAGTCCACCACAGGCTGGTAGCTAAAAGACATACATAAAGTGATCATCAGTAACTGGCAAGTTCACAACGACAGTAAAATCACTTCACGGCAGTCGCAATCCTCCAACATTAATAACCTACTCAGCTCTTCCTCGTACCTCTCTTGTTTATTCATCTGGTCTCCAAAGCCAACTGTGTTGACCACAGTGAGACGTAGTCTGACGTTGGTCTCCTGCAGGTCATATGTTTGAGCCCGGAGCTTCACCTGAGGTTCAAAGTGGGATGACTCAAAGTTCTCAAAGTTGGTATTAAATAGCGTGTCCATCAGTGTAGACTTGCCTATACCCGTCTCACCTAGGGGCACAAAAGAGACGTATGATGCAATCTTTAGTAACTAAACTTGAAACAGAAAATTTTCAGCACAATTTTATTGTAACTATAACTGCCAGAAAGTCAGATTTATCCAGCAATGCAACTGTGGTCACAATGAATTCTAGCTAAGTGTGCAGGAGCTTTAACATCAGGAATGCCTGACTAAGAGCTGCAAACTGAGATCATTAACTGAATGTTTGTATGCAAAATAAAATTTAGCAATGCATTTCTATTACTATTTAATGACAGACAATCTACCTACATTTTATAAAGGCAATAAAACTTTCTGAGAGAGTCTATGTTCTGTTATTCCTGTCAATTTGTTCAACAAAAATGTCCACTACTCCTGTCTAAATGACATGACAAATAATAAAAAAAGTCTTAATTTTTTCCTAAATACCAAAAAAAAAATTTGTTTTTTAAATTAGCTCATCATCAACAGCAAAAAGAAACTCTGCATACATTATGCAGAGTTTCATCTATGTATCTATGTGTGAGCGACACAGTACCGATGCAGAGAATATTAAAGCAGAAGCCCTGGCAGATGGACTTGTTGACAAGCTGGTCAGGAAGGCTGTCAAAGCCCACATGGCCAGCAAGAGACAAGGACCGGACTCCTTTATCCTGTGGAATAAATTTGACAGGAAAAGCTGGGTTGTAACATTATGATGCTTTTTTTCCTCTCTTATTTCACAAAATATTGCACTTACAAACAAACAGAATCACATAATGCACCGAGTAGTCTAGTCCAGCCAAGATGTTTACGTATTTTTGTCTTTATTCTTTGCCTGATTAGATAAATCTGGTTTTTAAAGCCTGTGTGTGGGCCAAAGAGGCACAAAAGCGGTTAGAAGACGTTAAATAGGACAATAAGATAAATCCACCTAACTTCCAAAAGCCTGAGATAACTTTAAATATCACCGTCGTCCACTTTGTCAGACCTTCTGCAGTCTAAATTAATTAAACTTCCCGAGTGTAGGTGGTCAGCAGCACTGATTTAGATATGCTATGACTAAGAACCTTTAATAACTCTGTGGGCGGTGCTGTGCTTTATTTCTGAATCCTTGTCATTGCTGGAGGTCGAAACGCCAACTTTCATTCAGATTTGTGAGGGCTAATAATTAATGATATTTGTGTCACAAAGCTCCCGCAACGTACAAATACATCTTGCGGCAGGCACGAATTGCACACATATTTTCAAAAGCTTATCACGGAGCTAACGTTAACGATTCTATGAAACTAATGTAGCACTGCTAGTGTAGCCTTAGCCAGCTAGCGTCCTCTCAGCCGTTTACCGTAGTGAAAGGCATAACCGGGGATCTTTTTTTTTAAAAAGGTTCAGTGCTTGTGTTGATAGCACATCATACATATGTTGTCGAGTTTTAAACTTTGCCCCGTTTAAACATGAATGTTTTCCATAAGTGTAATAACTGAAAGTTTTCAGGCTAGGAGCTAACTTAACGATAGCCTCGGACACTCCCTGCTCAACTGTCTAGAAAGAAGTTTATTGTCGACAACACAGAGTAAAAAATAAATAAAAAATACTAACCGGCTGCCGCGCAACATCCGAAGAAGCCATAACTTAAGATAGGTCGTAAACAGATTCAGAAATAACTTTAAAAAAATAAAAAATAAAAATTAGAAAAGGATCGACTTCTTTCTCAAAGAATCTCGCTCAATACCGCCCTACTGCTGTCGACAACTGGACAGACGACACCATTAAAAACAATGTAGTAATGGGACGATTTCTAAATTTTCTTTATATCGACAGTCATGCAAGTTATGGCAAATTTTGCGGAGGCTCCAATATTTAAATGTTCTACAGCATGTAATTTACAAAAATAAAAGATAAGATAGCGCTGAAAAGCAAGAAAAACTTAATGCAGTAATAAAATCGCCCCCCTTTTCTAATAATGGTACAGCGCAATTTAATTTTCCCAGTGCTTACTTTGGGGACTGTTTGCACCGACAAAACATTAAAATGTATGAAATCTGATTTTTTTGAGGTGTGATTATTATAATAAAATAATGAAATGAAAAATCATTATATATATCATATTAATTTAAAACTGTTCCATATAGGATCTGCTGTGTATAGCTATGGGGAAATGCATGTAAGACCAACTAACTAATCCGGTTTATATGCTACAGAAGAAAGCTAAAGCAATTATAAATAGATTAAAGATTATCAGATTATTATGATCAAGGCATTAGAATATCCATTAAATTGCATGCCTTAAAATTCTACTGTTTCATTGAGCTCCGGACTCCACCGATATTGTACAAAGCACAAAAAAATCTCCTTCTAAACTGTATTTGGAGGTTTTAAATTAGAGGGAAAGCATGTTAACTAAGAACAGGGCCAGGACAATTTAAAAACAAATACAAGGTGTATCTGTTATATGGGTAAATGTGAGTAACTGTAATGAGGAATTAAGATTGTTCTGTTCACTATGTCATTTTAAAAACAGTCTAAAAATCAGATCGTAAACAAATATAAAAATGTGGAACAGAATGATTTCCATTGTTTAAAAGAAACATTTATTTTTGTCCTGGTTCTGTTTCGATTCTTCATATTGTATCATCTTTTGTGTATTTTGGTTGAAATCTTAATATAACAAATAAGTACAGGTTTAATAAGCTTAAGGTTCAATTTGCACCTTTTAGGTCAATAATTTGTGCTCTTCCCCTTGAATTTACTTCTTGACTGTTAAGGTGTATTTGTTTACTCAAATAACCTCCTGTTTTTGTTGTTTTGTAAAATTTTAATAAGGACTGAAAGATCAAGTTCTGCGGTGGATTACTTTTCTTTGTGAGGTGAGGTAAATGTTTTAGGATCAGAATCCTCTTAATCTGGCCAAGTTTTTGCAAAAATACAAGGAGATTGAGTCCGGTTTCCTCACTGCATGCAAAAAGAAACTCCAGCTGGGCATGAAAGATAGCCGTAAATAGGATGAACATAATGCAATCTGGATGAACCTTGGATATTATTTTGAAAAGTTCAAATTGTGCAGTGCAATTATTATTAATACTGTGAGTGTGTTGACCGGAAAAAAATGTGTATTTTATTATATATTATGTATACGCAGTATTTATGGTCACTTTTAAATAACTAGTCGTCTGGGAAGCCCGCGTTTCCGATGAGCACTGGAACGCAACATGATTCTTGCCCCTTGCCTTTGAGACGATGTGAGCGCCCCCTGTCTGAAAGAGCTAAACACTGGTCTTCCCATGGAGGAGAGGAGGAGGCCAGAGAAGAAGATGCTGTCATCCTCTCCTTAAGCGAATGAGCGCGTTAATGGGCTCATTTTTAAACCTTCGTGCGCAAATAACCCAGTGATCTTTGCGCTCTGTCTGAGTCGTTCAGGACGAGGACGATGATGATGATGGCGTCCCGCTGCACAGTGCAAGCCGTGCAGGAGTTCCTGTCGGAGAGAGGAGGGAGGGTCCAACAGATGGAGCTGATCGATCATTTCCTATCGCTGAATGAACAGTCGAAGGAAGGGGTGGATCGCGAGGTGCTGAAAAGCATCGTTGACAGCGTGGGTTTCGTGAAGGTAGAAAACGGCGTGAAATTTGTGTGTTTGAACAGTGAAGGCAGCGGGGCGTCGGTGATGCGTACAGACGTAGATGGCCACGATGGTGCGGAGTGCAATGGCAACATCCAAGAGACGCTGGACAACAACTGTGTCAACGGCAATCATGATAAGGGCGACCAAACAGGTGAGGACGACGGATCCATTGTGTTTGCGTGATTTTTACGCACGTGTTTTATCCATGAATTGCTTTCTTACGTGTAACGTAGGCTGTTTTATCTATATTTTTGTTTATGTACTGTCTACTTGTTTATTTGTAATACAGCACGAATAAATAAAAGGTTTGGCAATTATTTTGTTGTTTTTACAGGCCAATATACGCATAATGCTTTGTTTTGTTTTTCACCGTACAAAATAGTGTTTGGTTCAATTTAATTTGGAATCATTTCCTGCCAAAAACACAAAATCCCTAAGGTTCAGGATACTAATGACACCAGTGAGGAAAAATAACAACAACAGCCTGTTAAATTCTGCAGCATGTGATCAAAAGTCTGCATGGAGTTGAATGAACACAAAAAAAATGAATGGTCTTACAGGGGTCCACTTTCCACTGGACAATGACAAACAGACAAATGGCAATAAGAAACCTGCAACCCCATCCCAGAGCAAGACCAGCACAGGAGTTCCTACCCCTGGTGGAGGAGGTGAAGTGAAGCTAAGAGACAGAAGGAGACGAGAGTCAGCTCCAGTTCTTGGGATGCCAGATCTCGACCAGGCCCAACCCGGAGGATCTCATAACCAGCAGACAAGAGGGGCACGCAGGGTGTCTAGAGGGTCACAGCGTGCCATGCTGACCAGCTGCCTGTCTGAAGACAGTGCTCTGGAGGGACTGGACCATATAGGAGATATCCAAACACCCAAAGGAAGTCGCAGGAACTTCATAGAGCTGATGATGAGTAGTTCTCCTCAGGTAGGACACAGTGCTTTTTATTATCATTAAGTATTTGTTGCTTTTGCCCTTTTTCTTTTTTTCTTTCTTTGAATGGCAGCTTTCTGTGGAAAGTAACAGTTTGCTGGGAATTTCTAAATGACTACATTTTGTGCTGTGACACAAAAATCTTAACAAAAGCCACGGCTATTGTATGTTCTGTCAGGTGCGGAGATCTCTGATCAACCGTGGGTCACGCCTCCGGGACTCGGTTAAGAGCGAAGGCGACTCGGCGTCCCTCCTCTCCTCAGCCACTGACGAGGACTGCGCCTCAGTAACCCTGGACCCTCTAGAGCACGAGTGGATGCTGTGCGCCTCAGACGGCCTGTGGGACAGCCTTCAGCCCCTGCTTGCTGTCGAACCCAGCCTGGTGACCAAGAGAGACTTTGTGACTGGTTTTACCTGCCTCCACTGGGCAGCTAAGCAGGGAAAAGCTGAGCTGCTGTCTCAGCTGCTCACCTTTGCCAAAGAGAACACTATACCTGTGAATGTGAATGTGAGATCAAGTGCTGGTTACACACCGCTGCACCTGGCCGCCATGCATGGACACACCCAGGTGGGTTGCAGGGAGTAGTATCATGTGTTACACCTGCTCAGTGAAGCAGTACATAATTACCTACACTTTATCTGCCCAGGCTAGAAACATTAGCTCAAAACAAGTTAACTGAACTATGGTTGTAAACACAAGTTTAAACACACTCATCCTAGGTGGTAATTTGGGTTTTTTAAGGATTTCTTTGAAGCTTTTTTTCCAGGATGGAATGATTGTACAGCATATATTGTTAATGACAAGAAGTTTGAGCTTATTTTAGATATTCTGCAATCCACATAGCGCCAAAAGTATACATAGGGGTTCAAACGTGCACTGTTATTTGGTTCAATATTCCTTAGCAAGTTGCACCTCAACCACATGTTTTAGTAGCAATATGGATATTTGACCACTCTCCTGTGCAGAGTTGATTCATTTAGAACCTATTACAGATCAGTGCTCTTACCAGAAGCTTAATGTTAGCTTTCTCTATCCCTTCTAGTTTTTTTTTTCTGGAAAGGAAAGCGTCTGGACTTCTTTACGTTCAAGCAATGTAAAGAAGTCCAGACGCTTTCCTTTCCAAGCTCCTTAGACTACGATGACCTGGATGACTGAGAACCTTCACAGACACCTTCTAGTTTTTATTTGTGTTTGGGATTAATGCCCTGTTGGAACACCCAGTTGTGGACAAGTTTCAAATGTCTAGTTATTCATTTTTTTAATAATTAGTATTATTATTATTTTGGCATTTTAGCCTTTATTGGATAGAGACGGTGTAGACAGACATGAAAGTGGGGAGAGAGAGGGAAAGAAATGCAGCTACATGGTCGCCTTCTAATATCCATGAAAACGAGACCTCTCATGTTTGCATGCGGTGTGTTTGCGTTGACAGGTGGTTCGTGTCCTGCTGTCAGACTGGGATGCAGACCCTGAAGCTCGAGATTACAGCGGGAGGAGACCAATGCAGTACTTGTCCCCACCGCTAGCTGCTGACCTGCTGGAAGAAGGAGTGGTCACCTCACCGGGACCTGAGTCAGACAGTGAGAACAACGGCAGCGGCAGAGGTCGGGGCTGGAGATTTGCCAAAGTCCTCCAAGGGAATCTGAACCCGCTCCGGCTGCTGAATTCACCAACAGAGGCATCAGAAGATGGAACGGGGAACGGGAAGAGTAAAGGGGGGATGCAGAGGAAGACGTCTTTGAGCCGACTGAATGCCCGGCTGCACAGAGGACGCCACAGAGCCCAGATCATCCACAGCGCCTCCTTCAGGGACACAGGAGAGGTGGGAAGAGGAGAGGAGCTACACAGCAGTCCTCTTCGAACGAGACCGCTGTCCAACCTGTTTGGATAAATCTACACCACTCTAAGCCAGCGACACAGTGTTTTTATTTGTAGCATAGGTATCTTTTATTATCTGACAGGTCAGATATTTTAGTGACAAAATATAACAGTGCAGAAACTAACACATTTTACAAAATTTTCTAAAATTCTAGTTTATTTTTGTTCCTGTTGCAGTTATTGTTTGTCACTGAGGGAAGGGTACAGTCACGTGACAGTTTATTTGCCTTGGCTAGACTGTGAATTCTTTCAAACTTGATTTTTGTTTTGACTTTTTTTTCCCCCTTTATTTAATTTGGACAACTAACATCACAAAGATAGTTTAAATATGTTACAGTACAGTTATGTTCATAAAAATGCAAAAGCAACAAGCAGTATTGTAGAAAGTTTTCACTTTGAAGCACTTTGGTTTGTTTCCTCACCGCGTTTCTGTTTGCAGAGTAATATATATTTACACACACTATTAGTCTGAAATTAGATGGTGCTGACGTTTTTTTTAGTACATTCATTGTGAACAAATATTTTATTTTTTAAAGTGGCAGATTTTAATATTCAGACAGTTGAAATTGCAGTTTTTTTTTTTTATAACGAGCAACAGTGTACAGTCATCATGTTTGCACTTGTCACTTTTTAAAAATTGGTAGTAGAAAAATTCATTTGGGTCCCAGATCATATCTATTTTTTAAAATTCTAGGCATAACATCAAAAGGGGATCAGATTTTTACCTGTTTAAATGCAAAGTTAACTGATATTCAAAAGGGGCTTGGTAAGTTATTTCTCTATTCATTTTTGTTTATTTAAAGTTGGAGCCAAAAAGAGTTAGGTTCACTAATGGGGAGATGTTGCTAAGAATTGTTTAATTGTTTCCAATTAGCTATACAAAAACACAGATTAGTAGAAGCACAGTCACCAACTTTATATACATTTTTCTACTGCCGATAACGTACCTCAAATTTTCTGAAGCTAATTCACTTGTTTCTACATTGCTTTGTGTGTGGTGTGTATGCAAATGTTCAGACACTGATATTTAGATATTGCTCTCTGAATGTCAGTTGCAGAGTTTTGCTTTGTTATCTGACATTTCATTTCTATATTTACTCCAAAAATGTGACACAGGATTCATTGGTTCATAAGGGTAAAGGTTCAGGCAACCACGGTCATAGATATCCGCCGGAAACCACGACATCATATGAAACTGAGACAAAGTCAATATTGTTCCCATATATTAGTCTGACTTTGCATGCACACTGTCATCTATTCATCAAGCTCCGTTTTCTCTAAGGACTCTGGCCAGAATGTGCCATAGGTTTAGCAGCGATTTCTCAAGTGGTTTCCCAAATATGTGAACCTTTCTTCCTCCAAATTTCATGAATGTTCTGTTACTAATTTGTAGCATTTGTACTTTTATCACGGAGATTCGTGTCATTCTATGTCTTGACACTTTTGATGTAGAGATTTTATGTCATTTTCTCAGCGGCATGAGTAGAGGAAATGGAAATGCAGCACACTGTTGATTCTTATGTCTATATAAAGAAAATGTGTTTTCATTGTAAAATGCTGTGAAGTGATTGTGTGGTGTGAAATCACTGTTAACGAGCCACTTTTGTTTTTGGATTAATGTCTTATCCATAAATGTGAAATAAAGAAGTTTTGTTTTATTTGCATAATCTAAAGTTTTTAAGTTTGTCAACTACGCTGTATCGTCCCATTGATGCAATGACTGTATAAAGAAACGGCCTCGGTAATAATGAGAAGGTTTAAAATGTAAAGAGCAGCTGTGAATACTCATGTTAACGTTACCAGAATAGATTAAAAATACAATTGAAGCGAGTCGCTTCATCCGCCCTTCCTGCTGACACCAGCTGATTGTCCTTGCCTGTTGGTGCTGAATAATTGATGATCTGACGACCCCAGCTTTGCTCCGGCATTTACAGTATATCCACAACTTCCTGTCCACATGGCCCACCAGATAGATTAGTATCCAGTTCTTATTTTGCACCTCTTGTTATGCAGACTGACCTAAAGTCAACACTGCTGTTGTTGGGATATAAACTCTATTTAATCCATTTTTGCAAATACTTGAAAATCAAATTTTATCGTGTTTATCTTAATATACTTAAGAGAACCTAAGAGGACAATCAGTTTTGTGTTTCCCTGCTATGCTATTTTTGTCATTGGTTAGAGAAAGTATAGAGTACAGAGGAATTTAATGCCCACAAGCTTTCATATGTGTGTGGGGGATACGATACATTTCTCAGTGCCTGAGCCTGAACAGATTACTACAGATCTGCCAATCCTCTTGTTGCTCTGATGTCCTGCTGGCACCCTGTCTGTTCTCTGCTTCGTGTTTCCCAGATCAAACCAACCATATAAAAGCTGGATTACATGTAAACAGTCACAGTGTATCACACAATATGTTTCTTATATAAAACTGAATGCTCTTTCTTAAGCCAGCTCCTTTGATGATTCTGTAATCTCTGGGGTTTCCCTGGTCTAGAAGTCAAATAATGATTTATAGAGGTCAGAAGTGATGTGCTTTTTTTCTGGCTATGTAGAATCCAGATTTGCCTTAGGCAGGCTATCTACCAGATGACTGCTGATCAGGACAGGATAAAGAGCCTTTTTGACTGCAGTAACTGACCTACATGCACAGTGAAGGGAGTAATGCCTATTATGCAAATTCCTCTGCCATCCTTTCAGGGAAACTGTGCCAACTTTTTAGCCTGGGGCCTCCACTGTTGGAGCAATCCAAGTCCAGTCCATTTTTATCTCACACAGTTACCACAGTGATGATGGCTTTCAGACAAACCCTAATGAGTCACAAACAGTGCCAAATAGATATCAAGTGAGTAACAAATGTGTACTGTCATCAGAGTGCTGTTTGTCTTGTGGCAGATATAAAAAAAGACAGTGAATCCAGCCTGAACCATTTTTTTGGTACTGATCAACATTTTTTTTGCATAAACTATATCAGCGATTTGCTAATAAGTAATTAAATTGCGGGCGATTACAATCAATTGCCAAAGTTTCTATTATGTATTAATTATGTGTGTTCTGAAATATATAGCAGGGTGTGTGTTCTTTCTCTTTTTAAATACTGCTAATGGTTATTTACACCAAAAGTCTTAAATAATTTGTGAGCCCGGTTATAAAAAAGACCTCACAGATGCATCTGACCCATCTACTGTTCCCTGAAGCCTCGTCAGAAAAGGTCTCAGTAGAAGGAAGCTGAGTACTCAAAGAGAAACCATGCATACTCTCTCTCTCTGTGAGAACTGCAAACTCCACACAGAAAGGCTCCAGACTGGGTTCAAACCCTTCTTGCTGTGAGCCGACAGCACTAATCGTCAGACCGCCATGTACCCCATGAACATACAAGGAGGAGAGGCACTGATGGTAGATAGGTTTAAATACCTGGTGTCAACCAATGAAAGGCAAGATTTAACAAGATGGTAGTGAGACCTGTTATGATGCTTAGTTTGGAAATGGTGACACTACAAAAAGACAGGAGGCCAAGGCAAAAGTGCCAGAGCTGAAGAAGTTAAGATTTTCGTTGAGAAGATGGAGAGGATTAGAAATGAGCACGTCAGAGGGAGACCTCAGGTTGAGCACAAAGTTAGAGAGGCAAGGCTGACTTAGACATGTGCAGAGGAGGGAGAGTGGACATATTGGACATATGATGTTGAACATGGAGCTCCCAGGCAGGAGGGCCTTATTAAGAAAAAAAAATTGCTGACAATTTCGAGAATAAAATCAAAAATGTATTTTGAGAAAAAAAAAGTTGAAATACTAGTTTGAGACAAAAGCCAAAGTGTGGAGATTATGGTTGCTGTTTGAAGACAAACTCCCAGGTTGCTATACCTTCTACGAAAAGCCTTGAGTAGAAGGTAGCCTTGAGTTGTTGAAGCAGAAGAACATGCTAGGACTTTGATATAATGAATGGTGTTTTGAAACTTAAATGGTTAAAATCCTTTTTAAATAATCCTCACTCCATTTGGTTTCTTATACCAAGTAAGGTCTTTAACAAACTGGGGGTATCGATTTTCTCCTAAAATGTGACTTTGAAATTACTAAGCTACCTGTTAAACTCTGAATTCCATAAACAGGTCCTTCTGTATTGGAAAATTATATTTAAACATAATTTCACTCTATATAACAGCCCGATTTGGAACAATAGATATATACTGATGAATAGAAAATCTATTTTTATTCAAGATTGGTTCTAGAAAGGTGTTTCGGCAATTGCTCATTTTGTAGATGAGGAGGGACATGCTCTAAGTCTAGGACATCACGATTTTTGGCAAAAATTTAACATCCAATGTTCTAAAAGTAATTTTAATCGGGTTATAAAATCCATTCCATTGTCACTTAAAAACATAGTCGTAAGTGATATAATATATTCTGACATCTCCCCCAAGTTAAGCCAATTATATATAGATGGTATTCAGTTTTGTGATGTTAAATGCAATAATACATTTCTGAGATCTTCATTAAGGAGTCTCTATTCTCCAAATTTGCTTAGACGTAATTACATATTAAAAGATTATACCCTACTTCAACCCTACTTTACTGGAAAAACAACCTAAACCTGATGGTTAAATCTTTGACTTTAGTTAAAAAGAAAAAGGCTGCATTTTTTTGTGTCCTTTTCGGAAGATTTTGATTTAGTGAGTTAGTACTCTGTTAACTTTTATGACCCCGTCTTTGTATCTTCTTTTTCTTTGTACAAAGGTTGAAATTTGTATTTTCTGAATGTATAATATATTGTGCATTTTGTTGTATGTTGATTTTGCTAATTTAAAAAAAAGAAAAAGAAAAAGAAAAGAACATGCTAGGAAATGGGTGCAATGGAGACAAATGATTCACTGTCCCGGCGACCAGGCAGCCCAAGAAGAAAATTGCTATGAATATTAATATTAAACTGAATTCAATTTAAGAGATCTTTTTCCATTTTTCTCACCGCCATATTCATCCATGTGGTGTCGCTGTGGGCGCTGGTATAGGCTTCTGTAGAAGGTCGGAGTTCATTGCGTTCGGAAGTAGCAAGTAGTTGGATTTTCTGTATGCCTCTCAAGTGTATGGCTCACCTTAAATTACAACAGTGTGTTTGTTGTGTTTTGCATTTTCGGTTTTTACAGGGGGGCTAAGTAATTTTGGTAGGTTGTGGCTAGTCTGTTATCTTCTGTGCTAGCTGACGTTAGCATGTTGTTGTCTAAAGCGGTGATGTTTTAGGACCAAACTCGTAAAAACCGTAACGTTAACAAATAATAATCAGTAAACAAATAATAATGCGCAGTTTGCACGTAATAGCGTTAAATTAATCACGTTAACCAGATCGCTGGTTAAGTTAATTTCATAGCTTTCTAGCCTGCCATCCTTCGGGATGAAGCGAAGACTTTAGCGTTAGCTTTCAGCTAATGTTACATTGAGTTTGCTAACGTTTGTGTAACCAGTAAACACCGTTCCCCAGAAATATGTAGCGTAGTCCTCCTGACACTGTTATATTCATTATTATTCCTGCAAACTGTTGTCGTT